GGTATTTTTCGTCTATAAATCATAATCAGAATATACTACGATGTCCACTCAATATATAATATCCACTCAATACACGATAGTACTATTTTATAAGCAATCTCTTAATCTTTATTTTGGAATTTATCGAAGATATTTGATATAAACGCTATTTTATTTTTTGCATTTAAAAGATTTGCACTAGAATATACATGCTGCCATTGTGACCTGCTTCATTTCTTGAGGCAGAATAATTCGATTTCCAATCGAAGAAACGCATGCTAAAACCGCGGAAATTAATTCTAACCAAAGAGCGAATATTAATTCGTAATACAACTGGGGATAAATTGATAATTTACCAACTTTGGAAAATATATTTCGTAATTCAATAATAAATTAAAAGAAATTTATTAAAGATATGAGAAAAATTACAAGCAGATTTATAAAAATTATGTGGATGGAAACCACGGAAAGAGATATTTATAATAAAGGATAACGGAAGGATACTTTAGAGCTTCTTTTGTTCGCTCTGCGCTTAACGATGTCATATCCTGTTAAATTTGCGTGGTTCCTCACACTTTAATACACGCCAGAAATCAGGCACGACAGCGACGGCGGGTAGACACGATCGCTTTTGTCCACGAAGAGTTTTCTCCGCTGATATCGGGGAACTATTGGACCGAGCCAGATTAATAGTCCGCTATCCAATACAGAAGGTTCGAAAGATCGGCGGCTGGGCGGGAAAAGGGGATGAACCGATTCGACTCACGTAATGCTCGTTACACGTCGGACGATATTAACGAGCGCCTAGGAGGGCGGAACTTTCGTGCCATCGAAAACGTGAATCGGAAGCGGACGCACCATCTCGAGAATCGAGACGATCCTTCGCAGCGTCGCGGAGACGTTGGATCTTACATAATTTACAAATACGATGTGATGCTTTACGATCTTATCGGCTGATTTTTCGATGAAAACCTGGACCTGTGCTACACCCCGCACGAATTCACATCTTGGCACTGTACGAAATACGGCGGAACTGCGCGTATCTTTTGGTTCCTGCATCTCTTTAGTTTTAATATTATCTTTTTAATTAATCTTCATATTAAAAATTTACTATTTGAAATTGATCGTGAAGTAACGTCTTTATTTGTTTATACTGTTCTTCTATTTATACTATTCTTATTACGAATAAAGAATTGTTTTTTAATCCTTTAGGGACGGCATCGTCTTGTTATTAAAAAATTATTTTTTTATTAATTTTGCTAAAAATACGTACATTTTCATCTTCGGTATTTTTATCCTTAATTAATCTGTATTGATCCCGAATATATTTTTAATTTATCTTGATTAATTTTAAAAAAAGAACGTGGAAAATATTCAATACTTATCCCTAGAGATTTAAAGAATTTTTAGGTGAAAACTGGCTTGCTATGTCAACCGTTTTAATTTTACGTATTGGCAATTAAATCTTAAATTATATTTCCATTGTCTCGTAAGGCACAGCACGTTTACGACAGTCAACGGACTTCTGTTATATCTTGTTACGTTTCGTAACTCTTCGTTATATTTTTTTTTTGTCATTAGTAGTTTCCCTGCTGTGGAATTTAAAAGAAAAGTACACGCGTATTTCCAGAACAGTTCTCGTCGTTCCTCGTTTTTCTTTGCCTTGCGCATTTCCGCATTCCCATTACGATGGTCTTTTTTATCATGGCGCATAATACCACGATCGCGTATAACACCACTCTCCATAACTAAGCCCATCTACAACACGATGGGTAGTCGAGCTTTATTTTTATTATAGCTTTGAGTGTGACGTTTTATTATTGCGCGACTTTGTTCATACATATACATGCGGTACCGCTGAACACGCGTCGCGAGCGCAACCTCTCGCGACCCAGAATAAATTGAAATATTTTACACGAATCTCTCACATACATGTGGTTACATGTGGTTACATGTGGTTTCTAGTCCGATCTGACGCTTCTCCTTTCGTGATGTCCACGTTTTCTCACCCCGTATCGTGAGCGGTGCAGTTTCACTTTAGTCCTTTCTCGGAGAGCGACGATACGATTCCTTCACGGTCGAACGAGCAATTCCCTGTAAACTCAGTTACCTCCGACAATTCAATACGCCATGTTAACGTACGTGGCGTACGGTTGAGCTTCTCCTATCGGTGTAAATGTCGTCAAACGATTTTTCAATTACCAGATACCGTCTGATAATCGTACGATGCTCATTGAAAAGTCTTTCTGACTTTTCAGTCAGACTGAGAGATTTAATACTAGCCAAATGAGAACAATGTATGTTCATGATTATAGATTAAAAATATAGGTAAACCAAAAAATAGCTTTAAAAATTTGGAATACTGTTAATATTGAAATATTATTAATAATATTTATTGTTGTTGAAACCACAGGTATTTGAAAAGTAATAAATGATAAAATCCCTCTTTTTGCAGTTTATTTAAAAATTAATAACAAATTTCTTTAACGTGAAAGATGGCTCAGACTTCATTCAAAAATACTTTCGCGCGTCGTTAAAATCAAAGGAAAGAAAATTCTGGTTTTCATAATTTGGAAAATTTTGTAATACTTAAAATATTAAAAAGGGTACACTCGACGTACTCAACCACAAAGCGTACTACGTCAAAGCGAGTATGTAGTCGTAAAGGTAATTGCGTTTTACAGCTTGTCCTGTTGCGCGCAACACAAAAGGATCTCGACTATAGATATTAAAATGTAAGACAAGAAAACGGAGAGAGAGAGAAAGGGAGAAAAAGAGAGAGAGAGGAAGTTTATGCAGTTATCCATCTTATTTTTTATCTTGCTTCATATAAAGTGTTGACACTAAACATGGACGAACTTGATGGAAAGAAAAATTGCAATATTATAAGATCAAGAAAATTACAGTAAAACAGGATCTTTCATGCTTAAAAAGAATTGCTTATAAATGCAAATTGGTAAATGATGATTTTCAAAAAATTCTGTACATTTTTTTAATGCTTTTTCTATATTGAATAAGATTGAGCGAACATCAAAGATTTTGATTCATACATATTTACGAAGTATTCTACTTGCTAAAATTTCTTTGTTATCTTTCAGATTCATGAATTATGTGAGAAATCCTTTTCCATATATTATGTACAAAGTAAAGCGGTTTTCATATGTATGAGTGTGTATCGATTATATAAATTGCTGCATACAAAATCGCATTATGTGATAATGTCTTAAACATTACTGTTTCATATTATCGGTAAAGATTGAAGGGATTGAAGCTGAACGATGGTTATAGCCTCTGTCAAACATAGTTAGTCAAAAAAGAAATCGATAGATATGAATTTTGCAGCAACTCGATTTTCTCGTTTCATGGACATGTAATCACATCAGCCGATCACCGATATCGCGTGTCCATTAAAACCCGTCCTTTTTCAATGAACGTATCGCGACCTATATCCATCGCGTCACGACAGCGCGGGGATGCATCGCCTTCATGCAATCTCTTTTCGCAAAGATCTCTGAATTCAGCCTCATCTACTCCGTAATATAAAGAGTAGATTGGCGCCGCTAAATCTTTGTGGAAAGCCGTAAAACTTGAGCGCTCCCGCGTACGTTGTTGAGCACAATGGCGGTCTATGATATACGATGCACATTCCCTTGCACACGTATATACGGAACCACACCGGGTTCTGATAGTAGGTATACCTAGGTCCATTTTTTGCCAAGTCTATATAAAACAGGACAAAAGATTGATAAACATATGATGGGACTTTTGGTGGTTTTTGTTTAAATTATCTCCTACATGATTGTGCATGACGTCGATTGTAATAGAAAGATAAAGAAAGAGAGAAAGGGAATTAATAATTATTTTTAATATTATCTCAAAAAGAAAATATAAAATCTCAACTTATATAAAAAATTATTATTATATTGTATTATATCAAATATATTATATATCTTTATAAAAATACTTTATAAATTCTCTTTCTTTCTTTAAAAAATATATATGTAGAAATAATAAAAATAAGCATCTTATTCCTGACAATTTTAGAATTAATAAAAAAAATGTTTCAACAACGGAATAATTTTACATTGTACGTCGTCAAAGTTTACGAAAACGTAGACTCCGATTCTTAATCTCCGATTCTTTGTGGATTATACGGCAAACAATATTTTTCTTTGACGAACAAATGTTTTTATTGCTGGCGACAAAGCAGCTGGTAAAGCTTGCGCGTTAAACTCCTTCTCGGGAAGACCGTTTTCGTTTATCGAGCGACGAGACAAATATTTTTGAAACGAAGTTTGCTCATCGTTCGCGGTTTCGTTTGCGAGAGAACCGATAGTTTTCCCGCCGCTCCGATTTCTATAACCTGCGTTAGAGCAAATCTTTCGTTTCCTTCTCTCACTACGTATGCTCGAGCGAATTGAAGATTTTTCCATGAAATTGGTATCGTAGATCAGGTCGAAAGCTCCACTTTGTTTGACCCGCAGGCTCTCCAACCTGTTACCCGGCATCCCGGATATATCGACGTTTAAGACATATCTGCAGGAGGTCGCCTTCGAAAAATTTATCGGGTACTCGCGATAGATTTCGAGATTTGTCTCAAAATTCATCGTCCATGACGTATAGCCGCGATGTGGCGGTCTTCAATTCGATTTATTTGCCTGCGTCTGCCAACGAATTCGAGTTTTATTGAATGATTTATCGAAACAGACGTGAACGTAAATCTAGGTTTAAACTAATCCATTGCTGTTAAAATATTTCGCATTTTGGGGATTACATATATTCTTTATCTACAACTATATATATGCGTTTGCTTTCATGCACCATTGTCACATTTGCCAATATCTCAATTCCGTATTTACATATATAAAAACTAATACACAAAGACATATAATTTAACAGTTATTCTATAAGTGAAGTGCTCTTTATTAAAAAAATATTATATTCGATAAAATATTCAATAGAAATTGAGAAACAATAACGCTGAATTACAATGGGAGGACATGAGAGGGCATCTTACTCACGTCAACTTTAACACCATTGACGTCATAGACGTGGGGATTTTTATCTCGGAGTACGTATTTGTAGAATACCTCGTGGTCCTTGTACCATGTAATACCATAGAGATGGTCTCTCTCCCGATCATATCTGAAACAGGAGATCGAGCGGGACATATTATTAAATGTATTCCGCAACTGTTTGCTGAATTAGTAAAGACACCTGAGACACCGGTCCTGCGGACAATTCTCAAATATCCCTTACTACGATATTCTCAATGTACGGAGATGCTGCATTTCGCGCTTTGTTTATAGATATACCTAATATATATACTACGCGCCATGTGTATAGATATAACATATATATATACTACACAGTTAGGAAATTTGTGTTAAATTTAACACAAATGTTTTCACAGTTTATTCACATTTTTGTATTAATTTAACATAAGAGAAATATGTTAGAAAGTAACACAGATATTATGTAAAAAAAAAAAATTAACACGAGAAATGTAGCACTAAAATGTGACACAATTTTTAAACAAATTGTGGAAGCATTTTTTCAAGTTAAAATTAACATTTACGATATATTAAATTAATACGTATTTTATTCATTTACTTTTTAGAATTTACATTTTAAAATATATTATTTTAATATTACTGTTTACTTACTCATAAATTGTGTATTCAAAAGCAATACACAGTAAAAATCATTTTATATTCGTGTTAAAATTGGTCCACTCTGATATTAGGAAATGTTGAATATCTCAATTAAACACAAAATATTCAAGTAACAAAATCAAATTATGTCAAATTAACGCTATATATTAACAAATCAACACAAAATTTAACAAGGATTTAAGTGGATTGATTTTAACACGAATATAAAGTGATTTTTACTGTGTATTGCTTTTGAATACATGACAAATATTAATTTACAATATACTCATAACGTAAATTAATTAAACACAAATATTAAAGTTCCTGCATAACACACTCTCTAGTTATTAATTTATTAATTCTCAACAGAGAAATGTGTTTGACAAATCTACTTTGGAAAATCTATTTTATTCGTATGTCAAATAAGTAACTTCTACTAAAATTGAGCATTCATATATAAATATATTAAAATAGATTGTGTAATAAATTATTGGTTAGATGACCTGCCGCGACCTTTCGAACATTTATGTAAGTGATTATAAATCAATATCTAATCAGACGATATATCCATACAATTTTATTTTAAGAATTTAAATCAACTTATTTTTGTTATTTTGCTCGCCTCAAATTTTTCCGTGAAAAATACGTTTCATTGTATATAGATATAAAGTAATTTTTCATACGATAAATTGTTCATAAGATTTAAAAATGTAAAAATAAAAAAACCCGTTTTAAGTTTTTAAGCAGTCAGTATTTTTTGCTTTTGAAAGTTAAAACGTCGAATATACGTGAGAAACGTAGCAATTAAGTTTTTATACAACAGTTAAATTTTTAATCAAATCGAAGAACTGTTTGCCAATCGATTTGGCAAACAGTTACAAAAAGTTTATCGCAAGAGTTTTACTGTCAAATGAAATGTAATTTTTTTTAATAATTCAGTTTTATTAACACGCGCCGACACATCCGTTATCCAGAACCTTCATCGTAGATTGGCGGTGTGGTACTGAGCGCTAATAGTATGGATACCTGCACGAGCCAACCAATGCGCCTACTCGGCTACTGAAAGGCGCCCCATCCTATTCACAGGCCGCTTTTATCGTGGACGCAATTTACGTATCCACGGGCTAATCGGTTCTGCGGTTCATTCGGTACAATAGAGACGAGTCGTGGAAACGAGCGAATACTGACGAGCTGGGAATAAAAGTGAAATGAACGCGCGCTCCATTCGTGTGCTGGCTTCAGATCGTATCCTTAATTGGTCCTCGTTCGATTATTTCTATCGTCGAATCGCGCTATTAATTGAAACAGTCCTTTCTCGCTTTTGGAAGTAACACGAACGAAACGCTATCCCTGAACCTCGAGTCTTTAACGTGCTGCTTATTGCCGTACGATTAACGGATCCCCATTGAGCGTTTAGAGCTTGGGACATCTGTGGCCCGTTCGATATCTCTTTATTAAATTTTAATAGCTTTGCGGAAGCAATTTACATAGACGTTACATATTCACATTTGCGGTGAGCAATGCATTAACATTTCGAAATTCACTAATTCCGTGTGATAAAATATTAATCGTATGATTGCGCCTTATGCCGTATGGTATAATAACTTAAACTGACACATGGGAGAGCGTATTGCTCAATCGTACAATTTTAGTGACGTCGCAGTGCTTCTACACTCTAAAAAATATCGATGTGGATTTAAAATCCATGGTGTTAAATCCACATCATGTTGATATTAACACAGCATGGTGTTAAATCCACATCAATATTTTTTAGAGTGCATACATCCACTAAATTTCCAAGAGAATACAAATATAGTTTTTCGGTAGGTGACTGTAACGATGGATCACAGATGTCATAAAATACTATATTGAGAGAGAGAGAGAGAGAGAGGGAGAGAGGAAGAAAGAGTCGTTTGAAAAATCGCTCGCATCAGAAGCTTTTTACGATCGTCCGAAACAGACAGGTCCTAAAGGCATCGACCATAAATGCGATTTTTCCGAACTCGCGAAACGTAGCTCGTATGTTGTTTTAACGTGATTACGTTCGGCAGGAAGGATCGAAGAGAGACTGTTCGCGTGACAAGACTCGAATGTAGGGCGAGTACTATTGCAATAATTGATCGATATCCGTGATCAGAGCACAGTCGCGGTAGTCCGTCATTTTGCTAATCGCAGATTACCCTTGATGTATTCGAACGGCAAATCGAAAACATCAGTTGCCTGTATCGTGATTTTTGTCAAATAACGTGTATCGAATGGCATATAACGGATAATTCTCTCTTATTGTGTAACATTTATTTAATAATACGCAAAACAGAATTTTTAATGTTTGAATCGCAGCTTAGACCATAGTATTCTTATGTATTTTGACGCTCCGAAAAATCCGATGTCCAAATTGCTTCACATCACAATTTTTTTATTTATTGTGAATAGTTCAATTTTTCAGTATTTTTTAGAGCCATTTATAGCCTGGTTTTTAATATGCAAGCTGAGATATAAAAAAAGAGAAAATAAGTTTTTAACGATGATAATATGCAAGCTTAAAATTAATATGCAAGTTGGTTGACTAAAAATACTTGAAAATCGCGCTATTTATAATTTTAAAAAATTGTAATATGATGGAGTAATTTGGACATTGGTTTCAAAGCGCCAAAACACATAAGAATACCGTGGTTTGATATCTGGAACAAAAAATTTTTTGTATGCCTGTGTAATCGTTATACGCTGCGTTTGCATGTTCGTAGTAATCGATAATCCTTCACAAGAGAGTATATGTACATGTATTCCACGTTGATCTTTAGATACATTACACTTAAGAAATTATTAAAAGTTATAAAAGACGAAATTCGTTATCGATATCTATAATTAACTACGAAGAGTAAGCAAGCTACCCATTCCTTTTGCTCGAATAACAAAGTAGTCGCGTATCCAAGTAACAAATTCATCTTCATATCTATGTTCATTCGCAATTAAATTCCATCTTTGATATTATGTTCAGAACGATTGATCCGGTCGGAAGAGGTACCTTATTCGACGATCGCGCATTTGTCGTTTTCGCTATAATCGCCCTTCTAGATAGCCTTCCCCACCGTTCCATCTCGTTAAATTGCATTTCAATGGAGTTTCTCGGTCATGCTCCGATAAACCTTTTGAGCGGTTAGTTCACCGGTTAGGACAAAGGGAATCGCTTCTTCGACCCCGTCATCGCCATGTTCTTACGAGTGACGCGTTTGCAAAAGTAACCGCATGTGCTCTCTCTCCAGACTCGCATCCGATCCATCTATATTCATCAAACGGACGTCATTAGAAAGTTTACGAGATATTCTATTAATATGATCTTATCTGTCAAATGATTTTAATAAGAGAATTAAGCATCTCTGAAGTGAATATCGGAACATTTATTGAATTTTTCTTGGCACAATTAGTTGAAATCACGATTAAAAGTGAGCATGTCAGAAAAGTTTAAAAGCGGCTTGTAATTAAAGATTTTATCTTGCTAAAAAGAGAAAAATGCGAAATAATAGCTGCGCTATAAGATCAATCTCAGGAAAGCTGCTATCTCTTAAAAAAAACGTGAACCAATTAAGAATTTGATAAAATAAAAATTAACATATACGCGTATAATTAAAATAATAATATATTTAAAAATAAAACCAAAAGTGTGACGGTAAAAAATGCAAAGAAGTATTAATACATATCTCATATTTTCTAGATATATTCTTTTGGATCAATTCTTCGTATTTTGTTATTTTAAATCTTAAAACAGTTTTACTCAAGCCACTCTTGAAATAATACAGCTTTATTTGCTATGACAATCATAAAGCCAAATTTCGCGAAATCTGATAAAGACATAAGAATGGATAAAGCAGGAAGATCTAACTTTAGACGTCAAAGTCTTGTTCAGTGCTAAAAGACGGAATTCAGAAATAAGACGATTTTCGCGAATTTTGTTCTTAAGCTCTTAAGTCCTGGTTAAAAATATCTGTTCTACCATTCGGAGCAAATTTGTTCCATTTTTGCGCCTTCCCAGCGCGCAGTGAACCATCGGAAAAAAGCGAAAGACAAAAACTAGTGCAAGAAGATACGATGTGTATTAAGGTGCCGTGTAAAGGGCCGTCTGGTGATTGCCACCGGCCGTCTGGCATGTATTGCGTCGTTTCAGAAATGTGGTAGAGCCGTGGCTCGCACCGAGAGGATCCGCGAGCAAGCGAAGTCGTGTTACTACAGGTAGCGTCGGGGAAACGTTATTCCCCGAAGAGGATCGCGCAGGAGAAGGCGGTTCTCCGGGTCGCGTCGGACACGTCGGACGCGATAATGCACGCTCCGCTGCAATGTCGGTCTCATTGCGCCGTTGCACCGTTGCACCGTTGCAGTGACGTACCCTAGGGGGGCATTCGTGGGCTGTGTGTTGGTGGCGGTAACGCCATACCACCAGCACGTGCAGCAAAGCCCTGGAAAAGGGATTGCCGCATTCGAGCGTAGGTGCACAAT